ACTCAGATAAACCAGTTCAAAGCAGATATTGTGGGGTTTTCTACCTTGATATTCTGAGTTATAGGGCTGTATGGAAGGGCCCTGAGAAAAATCACATCCCAATATCTAAAGCTGATTGGAATCTAATGACTTATTTTGCAAAATAGTCTCTAACTTCTCTGCAAACAGCTATATAACTTCCACCATTTTGATTCCTGTCATATGGAAGTCATGCTCATCTTTTTTACTCCTTAGTTATGTGATATTGCCAGTGATGAGAATGCTTCAAAAATGAGACACACTCAAGTGTGACAAAATTCTTTGTGTTTCTGAATGATATCAGTTGGTTGATGGTGCTTAGGACTTTGGATACTTTCCTGTATTACTTTGGATATTATTTCCTATATTACATTACTATTCAGATTTTGTAAGTCAAACTGAATTATTTCTGATCCTGTTAGATTGCTCTGTTTTAATATTTCCTATGCTATTATACATTTTCATCCGCCTGGTTGAACCAATTACTCTTTAATCAGCCCGTATTTTGCCCCCCCTTTTTTTCAAATTAGTTCTTTTGTTGTTTGATGCTTGCCTATTATTGTTATGTTTGTTTTATACTTTAAAATTGCATTTTGTTATTGCTCTGCTTTTAATTTTATGTTCCCTGGGCTTGGCCCCATGTAAGCTGCCCCAAGTCCCTTTGGGGAGATGGAGGCGGGGTAGAAGAATAAAGTTGTTGTTGTTGTTGTTGTTGTTGTTGTTGTTGTTGTTGTTGTTGTTGTTGTTGTTCTTCTTCTTCTTCTTCTTCTTCTTCTTCTTCTTCTTCTTCTTCTTCTTCTTCTTCATTTTAATCCTTCCAAAGTTTTTCCAATTTTTCATTGCAGAAAGTAGGGGCAACCCTTAAGGACATATGGAGAGTGGGATGTAGCTTCATCATTTGAATGAGCTGTAGAAGATACAGCACCAAATGCAATTCCCTCTTGCAGCTAACCATAATCTTAATTATGGTCAGTTCCAATGGAAAGGAAAGATTGGGATTATCCACCCAGGTCACAAAGCCTGAGGAGATCACTAGGAAAGAAAGATGAAGACATGGTTCACAGATTGAACGTACAGTTGGCTGTCCATATTTAACCATCCACAGCTTGAAAGTAATAATTTCAAAACAAAAACCTTGATTTTGTCATTTTATATGAGGAGTGTAGTGAATTCCCTACCTGTTAGGCTAGGAAAATGCCTAGGAAAAAGTAGGCCCAAGAAGTTTGGCAGCCATTTTGGAAAGGGTGCCGGGGGAATCTCTTTTAGTTACTCATTTCCTGAAGGGGGCGTGTGACGATGAGTATTTTTATTCCTATGGCTGTGTGTTGTTTGAACAGTGGTTAATAAATGGTAAGTATGTAGGATTATATTTTGTTAGAGATGGTGGCTGGTTTGGCTTGAGCTGAGTTGCCATAGCAACGGGGTAGCCAACTGTCACTTCACGGGGCAGCTGTTTGAAATAGGCAGTCTGTAAGCCGGTGAGCTACAGGGAAGACTGATTTCTCTAGTGGGAGAATCAGGGAAGAGTCTGTGACCAAAGAGTTACAGGAGAAGGTAGCAACGGGGGCAGAGCCAACTGTCACTTCACGGGGCAGCTGTTTGAAAGTGGCAGTCTGTAAGCCGGTGAGCTACAGGGAAGAATGATTTCTCTAGTGGGAGAATCAGGGAAGAGTCTGTGACTATTAGAGTTGCAGAAAGGACTGAAATCTCTAGGTGGGGATTCAGGGAACTAGTCTGTGACCAAAGAGTTACAGGAGAAGGTAGTTGATCCTGTGGTGTGTGGAAAACCATCAGGAATACTATAGTTAGAGAACTATAGGGAAGACTGGTTCTTTAATATTAAGAATCAGGGTTTGGCTGTGAGCCAATATAGTTAGATAAGTCAGGTGACTTATTTATGTTAAATGAACCATCATAAAGCAAGGGTAGCGTGTGCCTGTACCCATCTGTAAAAGAAAGAACCATCTTTTTAAAGAAACTGTTTGAAACCTGTTTAGTGGAAGGAAGAGCCCTTCCCAGAGTTATTCAAGAACCATTATAGATGTAACCTATCAAGATTTGTGCCTCTAGAGAACTAATATTGAATCTGTTATACCTTGCTTGTTCCAATAAACTTGTTACTGTTTTCCTCAAGCCCTGCCTGATACAGTTTCTCCTAAATCAAACAGCCTGCATAAGTAGTAAAACCAAACCAGGGACATTAAATGCTACGCTATCAAATAAATAAATACTTCTGTAAATAATAGTCCCTTTATAAACCAGCTCCTAAGCTGATATTGATCATTGCCCGGCTTTCCTCACAAATTTGGTGGCAGTAGTTTTATGCTCCTTTACAGGGCGTGTCAAAGGGAGAGGGTGTCAGGAGGTTGGAGTGGTGTAGTGGGTTAGTAAGAGAAAGGCCTGAGATTGGCCAGTTGGTTAGCAAGGATAGCTAGTGGAAAGAATTCTACAGCTATTAGGGAAATAGCTGGTAGAGGAGGGAAGAGATAGATCCAGGATAGGACTATCTGTGCTGCTTGAGATTTACTGTCAGAGAAGCAAGCCTGTCAGTATTTCTGAGGAGGGAGAGAGAAGTGTGTCTGTGTAACTAAGTCTGAACTGCTTTATGTAATCACACGCTTTCTAACACAATACTCTGAAACAGCCAAGCTTTTTACCTGAATTGTTCCTGTTCTGTTAAATAAACATCATTGTTTTGTGGTTCACAACAACTGTCTCACGTGTGCCTCTGTGGGTGAAGCTTTCAAAGCAGTTCCCTGAAGTATTCAAGAGCTTAATGGTGGCAGCGTAAATTTTAAAGAACAATCTTTAGTGTAACCTCAGAAACACAAGCCTGAGGGCTAATCCAACACACTCTTGCCTCAGATACCTCAAGTAAGCCAAGGGCTTACCAGTGCTTCTAAGTTGGTGGGTGCCAGAGGGCTTTCAAAAGGGGTATTTCAGCCAGAAAAAAGTTCTAGCTTTCTTACCGCTTTTTGTTTTGGGGGCTTTTAGTCGCAGAAGCCTCATTTCCAATCTAAGTGGTGTTCTGCATTTGTTTTGGGGGATTTTTATTTCCTCAAAGAAGTCCCTGCTTGTTATATCTTGGTGGCACGCACTGGGAGTTGTCCAAAAATAAATCTCTATCTTTTATAAGGAGCATCATATAAGGGACTTAACATGCTATTGCATGTAATGTGACGAACATCCAGAGATTTTGGCATCCACAGGGGCCACTGGAACCAAATCCCAGTGAGAACCAAAGGCCTATTATATAGGCTGGGTTAAACTCTTACAACTGATATTCTTTGCATTCTTACTGAGGAATACGTTCTCCTGAATTGAACTGAAATTTGCTTCTGGTGAGGTCATGGATGCAATATATGGTATTTTCTTTTGAGTAAAAGTAATAAAGTCTGTACCATAAACCTTTTCCCTTCTATTTAAAAAAATGGTAATAGATGTCAGAATAGATACATTTTTGACAATTCCCTTGCTGGGAGGATCTGGGTGTTGAGATCAACAAAAGTAACTTTTACAGACTTGCTCTCAGAACCACCAGACATGGGAAGATTATTTGTGCAGTTTATAATATGCAAGTAATTCACCACTCTTCCTGAAAGACATATATTCTTTATGACAAGTAATGACTTTTCTCTTCTCTTGAAATAAAGATAAATGAATCTTAAGCAAAACAAATCTAAAATGTTTCTCCTTTCTTCATATTTGAAGGACAATTCATTCTGATATTGTTTGGTTGCATACTGCAAGTCGCTTCTGGTGTGAGAGAATCAGCTGCCTACAAAGACATTGCCCAGCAGACGCCTAGATGTGTTACGATCCTGCAAGGAGACATCTCTCATGTCCCTATATGTAATATACTATATACTTGCAGGAACACTTCAGCAAGCAAGAGTCCAAAAGTGTCAGGCTAAAATCCAGAACCTCAATTAATGGCTGATACCAAATGAGAGACTCTCTCCTGGGCACACAGAAGACTGAGCGACTTGGAAAGCACTGAACAGACTGTGCTCTGGCACCATGAGATGCAGAGCCAACCTTAAGAAATGGGGCTACAAAGTGGAGTCCACAACATGTGAGTGTGGAGAAGAGCAAACCACAGACCACCTATTACAATGCAGTCTGAGCCCTGCCACATACACAATGGAGAATTTTCTTATAGCAACACCAGAGGTACTCCAAGTGGCTAGCCACTGGTCAAAAGACATTTACTATAATGCCAAGTTTTTAACATTGTATTTTTAAATACACTACAACTGTACCCTCAATTCGCTTCTGACATGATAAATAAATATTCTGATATTTTTTTAAAAAGTTTGTGCGAAAATTTGTACACAGTTTTGTGTGAATGTCATATGATCCATGCATTTATATATACTGTTCTTCTGGCTATACACAGTTTTTTTTCCTAACAATTTCGTAATATATAGTTTTTGATATGTTATTTACATAAGGTTATGTAAATAAGACACATTATATCGAGTGAAAATGTAAAGCTTAATTTATTTATTGGATTTGGATTACTCTTCTTGTGTGAACAATTAATCAATTAATAAAACACTTGGGGGGGAAATAGACTGTCTCCCCATGCTTCATATGTTAAGAACCACTCATTCTGATATTTTAAAATGTTTGTATGAAAATTTGTACACAGTTTTGTGTGAATGTCATGCATTTATACATACTGTTTTTCTGGCTATACACAGTTTTGTAAAATATTTCATAATATATAGTTTTTAAATAGCAATTTATATGTCATTTCTTCTAATGTATCCATTTTTAAAATGTAAAGGCATTCTATAGGACATTTGAAACTAATTTAGAAGGAAAAATTGTATTCTAAATCCAGTCCACTTCATCATCTGATCAAAGTTTTTGCTACAGTCTCAAATCCTTCAGGATTCCTTTATGCATTTAGGTGAAAACCTTGAATAATATTATTTTTTGTCTCTACTTTCCCCAGATGTGCATATTTTATATACTTTTTTTTAGAACGGGGAGATTTATTCCAGAACTTGGAGAAGTGTAAAGTTTGATTCACAGGTGGGGTTTTAATTTGGACATTGGTTTGAAAGTGTAGAATGCTATAAATTCACATTAAAATGAACATACAAATCAAAATGTGAATGTCTTTCTTTCCCATTTGGTCTTTCAGCTAGTTAGGTTTAAACGCAGCAAAGTATGTCTTTGCTCCATCTTTGAATGAAGGTTGAGTACCAGTAGGTCACATGAGGGTTAAGTAGCTTTTTCCTGAAGATGGATCATTCCAAATATCCATAGCTTTGAAAATCAAAGTGAGACTCTGCCTTAAGACCTGAAATGAGGCAGGTCTTCTTAATGTCATGTAGAGTACTGAAGTGAATGATGAATCTCCCACAGCCTTCTGCCCAGCCATCTCCTACAGTTCTTCCAGACTGAGCCCAGGTGGAACCGGGAGAGTTATAAGTCCCAAAAAAAGCTGTCCTTGGAATGTTCTACCAATGTTCCTAGACTTCAACCTCCCAGGCATTGAGGACTTCATCAAATCTCTTTGCGGCAACCCCGTTGGGCAGCTTCAGATCATCGGATCTGTCTCCATTGAAGTTTCCACATGCAGCACAAAGTTTCCCGCCGAGGTCCCCGTTGACTTTCACAGTCACCTCCCCATCAGGACAGAGGTGAATCTGCACCTGAGAGTCCTGCTCGAAATGGATTCCAGTCATGTCTTTCTTCAGAGAAACTGAACTTCCCTCACAGGTTTTCTTGAAAGGTAGGGTTACCAGGCGTCCATTTACCTGGAAAACATTAAAAAGTTCGAGATGAAATGTTGATGTGCGGAAGCCCATAAGCCAGTAAAACCCTAAAATCTAGAAGTAGACACCAGCATCCCCATAAGGGAAAAATGCAGCCTAGGGTCAATGTCCTGTCAGTGGTATGCTATGCATAAATGTCGCTTGCACATACACAAGTCCTGTTTTGGACAGGGCACAGAGGACTATTTACATGCTTACAAACCCCATCACACTTACCAAATTCAGCATCCTTGTTTTTGAGAGGACTATTCACATGCTCACAAATCTCACCACACTTACCAAACTCAGCATCCTAGAACACTTTCTGCCTTTTTGGGGGGACAGAGCCCCACACTGGCCATCTGATGTGACTTCTGGTGGAGGCCCTGTCCTCAATCAGGAAGTCCTTGGATGCTTCCCCCCAAACACGGGAGTTCTTGTGCTAAGCTGGCTCCAATGGAGCTAGCACACTTCTGTCCTGTTTGGGTGGTACTTCCCCCATGTAATAGGGGAAGTGGCGTGTGGGGCAACAGAGCCTGCAGGTTTAATAGGTAGGACAAAACAAAAACAAAAAACCCCAGCACCTGAGAGCAAGTCTGCACACAGACCTGTTGGTCCCGGGATTTTTGCCTCCATTGTCCACACTTTGCCATCCACATGTTTAACGAAGTTTCTGGCACACAAACAAACTTTATGGTGTAGGACCATTACTTTTGAAGGCAGTACTACACAATCAAACAGGAATACACACTTTCAAGCCAGGAACAGAACTTGGTCCTTCTTACCACTTCTTAGAAGCTGCCTGGCCATCTGTGCAGACAGGTTTTGTTGTGTGCTTGTGGCATGGAACAACAGGGTGATGTTCCTAAGTTATACATGTGTGTTCCTCATTGCTTTTATCATTGCCATGTAAGTTGATTACATGGCAAAACCTTTGTTTGTGTGTCAGAAACTTAATTTAACATGTGGAGGATGAAGTTTCTCTGGCCAGGATAAAGTTTTTGCCCTCTAGCCAACTGTTGCCATGTTTTTAGGATACAACCAGTCAGGAATCAACATGTATAACCCAGGAACAAACCAACATAAAAAATCCGGTATTTTCTGTGAGTAGGGACATACAGAGATTCAAATATCCACATTTTTGAGCCAGAACTGGGATATTCCTGCACCTGAAAAACTTGTGTTTTTTGGGACATTGTAGTGATTGCTCCTATGTTTTCAGGGAACAGTGTTTGGCCACCCTCCATTTTGATGTGGGAACTCCTGGGATAAAGGTACTGCCTGGACGGGCACTCAGCTGCATCTCATTTTTAGAGATGTTTATATTGGGTGAGGAGTGCATCTTAGATTCAAAGCAATATAGTAATTAGCAATAGGATCTATTGGCAAGAGAACTAAAGCTGAAGAACAAGGCCATAAAGTGGTTGTTCTGCTGTCAGGGAAGAGTCATCAATGTCCTTTATGTGATCATGGCAATGTTAAAATAGTGTGAATATATTCTAGGGAACTGTTCCTAAAAAGAAGACATGCTGAATGTTATGTTGAATTCTAGAAGTTGTACATATTATTCCCCATGCCTCTACTTACCCATATGTGTTCATTGTTTTTGACCAAGATGGTTCCATGTGGGAAGTAAATGTAGACATCTTTCCCAGCTGCCACATCAGCATGATTCTGGTTGATGCTCACTAACACTCTGAACCAGGTGACGGCATCTCCATCACAAGCAACGGCCATTTCATAGATGCCACTGGCCATGTATTTCCCTGAGGCACCATCAAAAGAAATAAGCTGGGCTTGTGGGGTGAGTTTGCACTCTCCATCCTTCTTCACACAGCTTGGCACACTGTCCCTGAGTTGGCAGGCTGCCCCAGCAGGACAACTGGTTTTCCTGCAGATGAGTTGGCCTGAGGAGCTGCAGGTACATTTTTCTGTGCAATTGTTTGAGAGATAGCTCTCTCCGATCTGTTGGGAAACCCCAAAGAGAACAGTTGTTAGCAAAGGAAAATATTTCCATTTATTATTCTTTGTGCAATAGCACATAATAATTTACCTTGCATGCAAGGATGAATACTTTCATTAGTTTTATCTCTATTAAAAGAGGAAGAGATATTAGGAGAGAATGCTTCTGGAATATGGCCGTATTGCCCAGAAAACTCAAAGGAAAGTATTTTCATTTATTGTTCTTTGATTGTGGAATGGCACATAATAAGTTACCTTCACATTTCTCATCCTTGAATAATTTTGTTAATTGTATCTCTACTAAAAGAGGAAGAAAGAGATGTCAGGAGAGAATGCTTCTGGAATATGGCCGTACAGCCCAGAAAACTCACAGCAATCCAGAAAGAAAGAGGCATTACAAAAACCTGTCAAGTAATTATTCTGCCAAGAACACATTTGTTTCTGCACAAAACTCCATAATTTTTTTGCACAGAAATTGTATTTTTGCAGCAGCAAACCATGTTTTCTCTGTACAATACATAGTTTCCTACACAGGAAATAACCCTTCAATCACTATTTATCAGTGACGTATGAATTTATTTATTTATTTACAGTATTTATATTCCGCTCTTCTCAACCCGAAGGGGACTCAGGGTGGATCACAATGCACACATTCATGGCAAACATTCAATTTTCTACAGACAGACAGACAAAGGTATTTTGGCATTTCCACTTTAGTGCCTGATGCCTGGAAGTTATGCTTGATTCTGGCTGTCGCTTCATCCACTATGACACTGAGTAATTTGATCATATGCTTCCCCACTTTAATGCTTCCTAATTTCTCTACTCACAGCCCAGCTGTTTTTGAACTGCTTAGGTGGACTGTAAGCTAGGTTTAACAATCAGATGCTCAATGTATTGTCGAAGGCTTTCATGGCTGGAATCACTAGGTTCTTGTGGGTTTTTTTGGGCTATAGGCCATGTTGTAGAGGCATTTCTCCTGACGTTTCGCCTGCATCTATGGCAAGCATCCTCAGAGGTAGTGAGGATGCTGATAGATGCAGGCGAAACGTCAGGAGAAATGCCTCTAGAACATGGCCCTATAGCCTGAAAAAACCCACAAGAACCTAATCAGATGCTCTATTTGACTCAGGCTTCGACCCTGTCACCTTCCGGTCAGCAGTGATCTATTGCAGCTGGTGATTAACAAGCTGTGCTACAGCCCGGCCCATTGAATTCCTTCATTCAAGCATTCATAAACAAGAAGGCAGGGATAAGTTTATACAGTCCTCACTAAAGTTGAATGGACATGTCTGCTTCAGTTCTCTAGTGTGAGATACAATTCAGCTTTTAATTAGGGATTTTTTTCTATTCTTAGGACTTTATCACAAAAAGCAGGCTAACTATAGGTAAAACCCATCAATAGTTCTCCAATCCTCCAATGTTTCCATCGCCGATCTTGATGCAACCGATTGAAGCATTTGGCCACATTAACTCGGAAGTTTTGAAGATTTTCTGAAGCAAAGGGTGGAAGCAATATCTCTGGTTTACAGTTTACCTTGTGATAGATTCCATCCCGCATACAACCACATCTGTCCATTGGCACGCATGTGGCTCCATCAAACACATAGCCCTCATCACATTGGCAGCCTTCAAAGCACCTCTTTGTGCACTGGATTGGAGTGGATAGACTGGCACAACTGAAATCACAAACTGAAGTGCAGGTCTCGTAGTGGCTGTTAGCTGGGCAAGTGGGAGCTGTGGAGACATTGGGGATAGGGAGTGACATTTGCTCAGTATTATCTTTTCCATAGAAAGGGAACTTGGATTGTAATCTTTATGATTAAGTGTGAGGAAAAATGTATTTTCATATTCTGAACTTACGGCAGAAAGAGGTTGTTCTCCAAGCTGTAATCTTGGCTCCTGATGTTTGGCATTCAGTCACATAGGCCTGAAGACTCCGACAGAGAGATTCTTGTGTCCCATCAGTTGCACACATAGCATAGAGGCAGTGTGCATAGTACTCAGCAGGTCTCACCAAAGAGTGACAATCTCTGAATGGGCCTAATTTGGATAGGATCATTCCACAGGAGCTCTCAGCCTTGTATGGTTCAGTCTTGGATGCTGAACAGGTGGGGCATCTCTCCCCACAGCCATCAGAGCAAATGGCGCCATCCACAGGGACCTTCCAGGAGGCCCCAAACTCTTCCATATTTTCAGTGACTACTCCATTGGGTAGCATGAAATCATCCCTCTTGTCTCCATTGAAGTTGCCTCCCAAGCCACACATGTGTCCCTGGTAGTTGTTAGGGACAGACACATGGACAAAAGAAGTGGTGTCATAGAGGACTGTGAGGCCAAAGGAGGATTGGACAATGATGTTATTCCCCTCCTGAGTGATCCAGAGTTTTCCATTCCCTTTGTTCACTGGCAGAGTGTAGGATTTTCCATCTAACTGTAGAAATGACAGAGAACAAAGCTAGGCCTTAGACTTGGGGAAAACAACATGGAACTGTATACTTATATACATGTTAGTACTAGTGATACACAGATTGATCTCCTCCATCCATTAATTTTGTAAAAAGGACACTATACAAGAAGTTGAATTGAGCTTTCGACTTGCCAGTGTTGTGCATTCTACTTGACCAAGTGCTAGCATCTACAGGGTACCTACTTCAGGTATCTAACCTTCACTTTTTTCTTACATGTAAGAATGAAACATTTCAAAGAGTTTTCCCTAGTTTTGTGAGATTATAAATGTTTCTTGCAGTTTTGCATTTTGGATTTCTTTTGGTAAATAAAATCAAATTTTCTTTGGCTTTGCACTAAATTGTAATTGTGTTTTGTGCAAATCTAAATATTTTCCATATTGCCCAACATCTTTTGATGTGTTCTCCAGCATATCAAAGCAACAGATCTCATCAACAGTAGGAGCATTTCTGACTAGCGAGGAGTCAGATGTGTACCTGTGTCCTCATTGAAGAAGCCAGGGACAACACACAAGCAAGCAGGGGACAGCACGGAAATGGCATGGGATAGCACCCCACGACCAAAAAGGGGATGAAGCTGGCATCGCCCCACAGTTTCCCATGCTATCCCCTGCTGTCTCCAGGCTTCTGGACCTCCATGTGATAAGGTCCTCATCCTCAGTAGGTGCAAGCATTGTTCTGAATGTGTCGAGTAAAAAGGAAGGTCAAGAGTGCAGTGATACGGGAAAACGTATAAATGTACATTTGCATTGATGCTGGTCTCTTTACTTTTTCCCTCTTTTTTCTCTTTTTTCCTTCCCATACACTCTTACATTCCTACTGTTCTTTTTACGATGTTCACCTACTTTCACTGTACCAAGAACCAGTATCATAGGTATGTCTAGGTTATTTTAATCATTTGTTTGTCCAAGATGTGCTTGTTTAAGGTTGTTGATGCCATTTACCAATAAAAATTATTTTGGAAAAAAAAGAGTGCAGTTCTGCTTCCTATCAGTAGTTTGATGTCTCTTTCATGAACGGCTCTGGTCCAGCTTACCTGTCTGAACATATCTCCCTCTACAAATTCCCAAGGACCTTAAGATTGTTTGGAGAGACCCTGCTCTTGGTCCCACCACCATCACAATCACAGTTGGTGGGAATGAGAGGCAGGGCCTTCTGGGTGGTGGCCCCTCAGCTGTGGAACGCCCTCCCTAATGGGATGAGATCTGCCCCCTCCCTCATGACCTTCTGGAAAAAGCTAAAATCTTGGTTAAGGGATCAAGCAATTGCACAATAAATGGTTTTAACCGACTGTTTTTGTGGATGGCAATGGATTGAAGATGGCTTTAATGGGCTATTGAACTGATGGCTATGGATTATTCGGAGGATGACAAGAAATGGTCAATTGTTTTTATGTATTTATAACTGTTTTTAATCTAGGTTAAATGTATTTTATGTTGTGTATTGTTTGGCATCGAATGGTGCCTGTTGGTAGCCGTCCTGAGTCTCTCCTCGGAGGTGAGAAGGACGGGATAGAAATTCTCTTAATAAATAAATACATTTCATGACAGTGTTGCATGAAGTAGTCTACTGCCTTAGCATTAAAGTCACTTACCACTGTTTCCCATTGTATACCCCTCTGAAGGACTACCCTATATCCATGTACTGAGATTACGACAGTTTTTATCAGAATTAAAGGTCTGTCATCAAGTTTCTCATTCTCCACCAACACAGAGAAATCCATTAGTCGAGGATTCTTGTTGCAAACTTGAGCTAAGATGTATGTGCAGGAGCCATGGAAATAAAAACTTCTCCCATCAAAAGAAATAAAATGAGGATCATCAAAGACTTTCATGGTGCCATATGCAGTGGGATAGCAGCCTTGGATGCCATTTTCTGTCCTACACTCTTCCCCAGCTCCACAGGAGAAGTCTTCGCACATGATTGCTCCATTGTCATTGCAACGACACTTATTTTCACAGGAACTTCTGCTGGGGAAGAACGTTTCTCCTTGCTTGTAATACTGGCCTTCATGTAAACATCCACACTTAGCTTGAGAAACACATTGGCTCCCACTTAAGAGGAATCCTGGGTCACAAAAGCATCCTTCAGTACATGGAATATCACATGATTTTGGATTGGAGAGACTCTGGCATGTGGTAGGGCAGCCACTTCCACAGAGTTCATAGTGGGAATGAAGAGGGCAAGAAAGGCCTGGAAGAGAGGGGTAAAGAAAAAAAGTTTTTTTTTTTTTACTGATGCTTGGAATATAAACACCAGAAAATACAAAGATGAATATATAATATTTCTGTTGGGGATATCATACACAGTAAGATTCCCTAGTAGGTTAAATGTTTTTGAATATTTACATAAAACTGTAATTTGAGATAAGACTCTGATTATACCATTATTCTAATCTTCTTCAATGTAAATGTGCTTATTTATCCTTCCAATAATAATAGAGTAAAATAATAGAAATGTAATAATAACACTAATAAATAAAGTAAAATAATAAATGTAATAAAAATAATAATAGAGTAAATAATGAGAATGTAATAATAATAAATAGAGTAAAATAATACATTTAATTAAAATAATAATAATAATAATAATAATAATAATAATAATAGTAATAGTAATAACAGAGTACAGTAATAAATAACATTGACTCGAGTATAAGCCGAGGGAGGCTTTTTCACCCTTAAAAAGGGTTGAAAAACTCAGCTTATACTTATGGTAGTATAGACTCCCAGATCTCACAACCTCAGAGATCTATTGCAACTCTATCTCCAATATAATCCCATACATTCATCCTCAAAAATAATTGCATTGAATCCAATAAGGTTACTTCCAGGAAAGTGGGACAACATTTCAGGCTTAGGGTGCAATTATACCCAATAGAAACTAAATCTACTGAATCTAAGTGAACATCCAGGAAACTGTACTCTGGACTCATGACACAATCCAAAACATATTCTGAAAACTTACATTATAATACAATGACATATTAATAATATATTAAGATATAAACCCTGTAAAATTTAAGTATTCTAATATAAAGTGGTTTCGCTAAATAGGTTGCACACCAGCTTCAAGAAACTGCAGAAAACAGGGATACTGGTAAGGGATTATGAAAGTTGCAATCCAAATATTTGGTCTATAGGTTATGCACTCTAATTAATCTAATATCATAATTTAATGGACAATAGGGTTTCAGCTTTAAAATATCCCATGTTTATTTTCTGTCTTTAAACAGTGCTTTCTTTAGCCCAGTCAATCTACTTAGTACAGTTTAGAACTTGGAGGCAATACTTACTACAGAAGGAAGGTGATCTCCACTCCCCAATCAAGATTCCCTGATCTTGGCATGCAGTCACATAGGAAGTGATGGCTTTACAGAGCGTTTCATAGTGGCCTCTATATGCACAGGTATCAAAGACACAATCATCAAAGTAAGTTGTTGGGTCAATGGCTTTATGACACTGTCTGAAAGGGCCATCCCTTTTGATGAGTATTCCACAATAATGGTCGCCCTTGTAGGTCTCTTTCTCCGCTGTACTGCATGCAGGATGATCACTGGTATAGCCTGCTGAGCATCCTGGGATATCCTTTAGCTTCCAGCTATCTGCAAATTGGATTTCTTCCTTTGTTTGTGTTCCATTCCTCATGGCAAAGTCATCACTGGGATCTTGATTGGCATTGCCACAGAGTCCACAAACAGCATTGATGTAAGTACTGGGAAGGATGACTCTGGCATAGCTATACCAATCAAAGCTGACTCTCAGATCAAAGTCGGTTCTGATGAAGCCATGGACTCCACTGGCATAAACCTTCAATTTGTTCTTATAGAAGAATGGCAGGTCCACAAAGACTCCATTGACCTGGAAAACACATGGAAGACATCAAAAGGGGTAAACACAAGGATCCAACCTATTATTATTAGTGTATGAAAGGCCTGACTAATGCATAGTTTTGTAGTTATTGGTTAAGATTCTGCTAGCCCAAGCAAGAGATGATATGAAGAAATTAAATGGCAATGCCTAAGGACTGGGACTTAGAGCAAAAACAAATTTGCACATCCATTAGTAAAAATATAAAATATAATAATTCCATTGAATTTTAATGACTGCTTATATTCCATGCCCCTCTGCTATGCTATTGACTCTCCTTTGGATGTGTGTAAAAGCCACAAATCTGCATTAATCTCAAGGGCAATTTCTGTTTCATTTATCAGATTTTTTAGATTGCAAATTTGTGTCTGCTGCCTTTTTCATGCAATATTGTCCAACAACATCCAACAATACGCTTTGGGTCAAACCTATCTTCGAGACTGCTTCTCCTTCTATGAATCGGTTAATTCCTGTACCCATTACTCTGGCCTGGCCCAGTTTTTGTGTCTTAGTGTATTGTTCATTGCTTGTTGTTTAGATTGCTTTCATTGTTTTTAATTTGCCTTAAGTTTTGTATTGTTGTATTGTGTGTTGAGGCCTTGGCCTTTGTAAGCCGCATCGAGTCCTTTGGGAGATGCTAGCGGGGTACAAATAAAGTTTAATAATAATAATAATAATAATAATAATAATAATAATCGGTGTGGGCATTAAGATCTGCTAGAGAGGCCCTTCTCTCGGTCCCACCATTGTCTCAAGTATGGTTGGTGGGGACGAGAGAGAGGGCCTTCTTGGTGGTGGCTCTCTGGCTGTGCAATACTCTCCCTAAAGAAATTATGAATGAATAAATGAATGTATTGTCGAAGGCTTTCATGGCCGGAATCACTGGGTTGCTGTAGGTTTTTCGGGCTGTATGGCCATATTCTAGAAGCATTCTCTCCTGACGTTTCGCCTGCATCTATGGCAAGTGACCTCACAACCTCTGAGGCCTGAAAAACACATACGACCTCTCTACCTCTGAGGATGCTTGCCATAGATGCAGGCGAAACGTCAGGAGAGAATGCCTCTAGACCATGGCCATATAGCCCGAAAAACCCTACAACAACCCAGTACAGTAACTGCTTTGTTATTGTACCAGCCATAGGCCATGACATCACAATCACCGGGATTGTGGCGCAGCTGGCTGAGTGTCAGCTGCATTAAGATCACTCTGACCAAAAGGTCATGAGTTCGAGTCCAGCCTGGGTTGGAGTGGGTTTCCAACCAATTGTGTAGCCTGTTGTCGACCTTTGCAACCCGAAAGACAGTTGCATCTGTCAAGTAGGAAAATTAGGTAACACCTATGTGTGGGAGGCTAAATTAACTAATTTATGAGGCCATAAAGAAAAAAGACTCCGGGGAATGTGGAATGCGGAAGAACTTCATCGGTGTCGCTGATGGACGATGAAAAGCAGCAGCTCCCCTGGCGGCCAGAAAAAAGTTAAATAGCCTCGGTGTATTTGTGTTAAACGTTGTTTGTCAAACTGGCATTGAATGTTTGCCATATATGTGTTGACTGTAATCCGCCCTGAGTCCCCTGCGGGGTGAGAAGGGCGGAGTATAAGAACTGTAAATAAATATAAATAAATAATATGCAACCTTTAAAAGTATAATAAGCACTTTCCAATATAAACATTAAAACTTATTCCATATAATGGCTCTTTAAAATAATAGTAGCAGTGACATGATAACAATCACAAATGTCTGATTTCTATCATCCCAAACCATTTCTAGTCTCCACTGTGAACTTTACCAATTTAGCTCGGATTTCCCTAAAGAAATTAGATTAGCCCCCTCTCTTCAAGCCTTCTGGGCGATTATAAAAACATGGCTCTTCAGGCAGGCCTTTGATCCTATGTAATCCATGGTCAACAGATAGCCGGCTTACCCGCATATTCTACTGTGTTTTAGGAATTTTATAATTTTATATTTTTATTTTTATAATTTATCCGTGGGATGTTTATGTGCTGTTGACTGTACTTATGTCATTGTATTTATACTTATGTGTCGTTGTTTGTATGTGGCACTTGAAGTGCTTTTGTGAGCAGCTCCGAGTCCCTTTGGGGAGATGGTGGAAGGGTACAAATGAAGATTTATTATGATTTGCAGTGATTCTTCTTTAAAATCTTACCACTTTATCCTTTCTCTAGCAAACCTACCTGAATCTTGTTGGGATACTCTTGGCTCATACTGATGGTCATGTTGTATACCTCCAGAATTACCACTTTAGTGAAGGACACTGCTTTGTTGCCTCGGTTGTTATTCTCCACGCTGACCAAAAACGGGGTGAGGGTAGGATCTTTTGAGCAGAGCCCCACCATCTGGTAAATACATGTTCCCATGAAATCATATTTCTTCCCATCAAAGGTCGTGTAGTGAGGATCTCCAGTTCCTATACAGGTATAATGCTTGAGAGCATGACAGCCCCGGACTCCATTGACCACCACACACTTTTTGTTGCCTTTGCAAGAATCTTCTTGACACACAACCTTGCCTAATGTGGGGTCACACTTGCAGAGAGTATGACAGTCTTCATCATCCCAGAACTCCTCCTTTGCCTTGTAAGTTGCACCTTTATAAGTGCAATTGCAGGTCTCCACTGGGACACAGTCGCCAGCACTAAGAATGTAGTCCTTGTTACATTGGCAGGTGGGAACACAGGTATCATCGCATGTCAGGGGAGCCGTGCGGTCAGAACAGGTTGCAGGGCAAGCAGTTCCACAGGCCTCGTAGTGGCTGTTCTCAGGGCAGGATAAGGGGATTGGGACAGGAATTGCATCTGTGCAAAACAACAATCAAAAGTCATTGGGACAGTTCTAATATGAAAGGTTTCTATTTATTTATTTGTAACATTTATATTCCATCCTTCCCAACCTCCAAAGAGGGACTTAGGACGGCTACCAACTGGCACCATTCAATGCCAACAAAAATAAAACATAGCATAAAATACAGTTAGCACAAATTAAGACAATTATAAATATACATTAAAACAGTTCACCAGTTCAAATAGTCATCCTAGACCAGTGATAGGCAACCTTTTGAGCTTGGTGTGTCAAAATTCGCCAAAAAAAACACAGCTTAACTCAGATGGAGCGTCACTTCGAGAAAAAAAACCATAATAGCTTCCACTATTTCCAATGGTGGGAAACGGAACCCATAGCACACGCCCTCACCTCTTCAAGACTCCCCCTCACTTATCTCAATAAGGATGGTCAATTAGAAATCCAAGACACCCCAGAACAGTAGATTGGATGAGATTATTATTATTATTATTATTATTATTATTATTATTATTATTATTTTATTTTTATACCCTGCCAACCAYCTCCCCAAGGGGACTCGGGGCRGCTTACAAGGGASAAGCCCAAAAATTACAATACATTCTGAAGGGAATGCAAGARAAGTGCAACAATCAAGTAGGCAGGGCTGGAAATATTGTCATCAAAAGTATTGCGGTAGATAATAAGAGGGCCGATGTAAAGTGCTGAACTTAAAGTAGGGACAGGAAAATTACTGGTGGACTACTTAATCAAAAGCACACTGGAACATCCAGGTTTTTAGTTGTYTCCRGAAAGAGGACAAAGTGGGAGCCTGTCTGATCTCCCTAGGGAGGGAGTTCCAGAGTCAGGGTGCCACCACCGAGAAGGCCCTCTCCCTCRTCCCCATCAACCATGTTTGAGTCAGTRTGTTGAGGGGGAGAGAGCAGTGCCTCYCCGGATGATCTCAAGGTACACACAGATTCATAGGGGAAGATGCGATTGCGGAGGTAGCAGGTCCCAATGGTTGCTGTGGTTATGTGGTTGCTGTTAATGGCGATCACAGGGCCCTCAGAGATGCATCCCCTGTGACATTCTGCTACTCCCTGCTTCGCTGGCCAGAAGTGAAGTCAAAGTTCCCTTAACGGCTTAACTGGAAGTCCCGGAACTAGATGCTTTGTGCCGGAGTTCTGTTGTTTGACCTACAGACCTCCAGCAGAGTGTCTATACTACACTACAGCAAATGTTTCATCCTTGACTCCTGCACCTGGCCGTGTAGGAGTCGAGGATGAAATGTCTTTGGCATGTCTCTGTATGCGGCCACATGTGGCTGCGTGTCATCAAAAATGGTGAAGTGTGTCAGTGCTGAGACGCGTGTCATAGGTTCACCATCATGGTCCTAGACAGTCCCATTGTAGTCCATTAAAAACACTGTCTTTCCCAGCAAGTCAGTCTATTCTGCAAATGCTTGATCTCACATCCAGGATTTGAGCTTCTTCCAGAAGGTCAGGAGGGAGGGGGTGGATCTGATCCCATTAGAGAGAGAGTTCCACAGCTGAGGGGCCACCAATGAGAAGGCCCTGTCTCTCATCTCCATCAAACACGACTGCCATGGCGGTGGGACCCAGAGCAAGGACTCCCTGGATGATCTTAAGTCCTTGGTGGGAGGACTTAAGATATAGGGGGAGATAAGTTCGGATAGGTAAACTGGACTGGAACCATTTCGGGCTTTAGAGGCTAAAGCCAACATTTGAATTGTGCTCGGAAGCTAATAGGCAGCCAGTGGAGCTGGCGTAACAGGGGAGTTGTATGCCTGGCTGCCACGTGTTGGACTAGCTGGAGCTTCTGAGCAGTCTTCAGAAGCAACCCCACATAAAGTGTGCTGCAGTAATCTATTCGGGATCTAACTAGAGCGTGGTTCACCGTGGCCAAGTCCGACCTCCCAAGATATGGGCGCAGCTGGCGTTTTTAATAAGGCTTTCTATTTTTGATCTGAAATAAACTAATAAGAACTCAATTTCATGTCTTTAAATACCAGATGCCTTTGAGACAACATAGAGGTGAAGGAACCAGAATAGGACAGAAATGTAATAGAATACAAGGGAACATGGAGAAAGAAAGATTTGGATGCAAATCTAGATCTAGAACTTTCTCCACTTAGCAAGGTTCTAACACAATTCCTTCCCTGTTGTGTTATTATGCTCATTAAAATTGTGATAGAATACAAGGGAACCTGGGAGAAAGAGTGAAATAGCCCTTGCTTTCCACTTGAAGCAACATACAGTGTGTTGATGTGAGTTTTCTAGGCTGCATGGCCATGTTCCAGAAGCATTCTCTCCTGATGAGAAGCCATTGAAATCCACAAGCATGTGGACAATTTAAACAGAAAGGAGGAAACCATGAAAATGAATAATATCTGGCTACCATTATTAAAAAAAAACACTCTGAAATCAGGATAGTAAATAAAGAGGAACACTCAGAAAATAGGGGAAACCCAGACAAGAAACAATCAGGGCCAGTTAATACCTCCCAACAAAGGATTCCCCCTGGCAGGAAGCAGCCAGGCTTTGAAACTGCAAGGCTATTCAATGCTAATCAAGCCGGCCAATTGCAACATTCACGCTTGTTTCAGGCAGACAAGAGTTCTTCCACTCTGAACAATCCACAGATACATAAACCTCACTTGCCTAGTTTCCAACAGACCTCTCAACCTCTGGGGATGCCTGTCATAGATGTGGATGAAACGTCAGAAGAGAATGCTTCTGGAAGATGGTCATACGGCCTGGAAACCTCACAGCAACCCTGTGATTTCGGCCATGAAAGCCTTTGACTACACACTGAACATACAGTATGTTTCTTGGTGCCCATCCACTGAAGACATTTTTAAAACACTTTAGGTCAGGATATGGAGGAACTTAACTGATTGATTCAATTAAGGGCCTCATCACACTACAAAAAAAATCCACCGTTTCTGCCTCCTGCAGATTTCTGGGGTTTGTAGTTTAGGGAGGAGCCTTTAACAGCCCCACTAAACTACAAACCCCAGACTTCTGCAGGAGGCAGAAACCGGGTTTTAAGTGGATTTTTTCTCTAGTGTGATGAATACTTAAGGCCAGTACTCGTTCATTTAATTTTCTTCTTGTGTGCCATCCTATCTGTCAAATTCAGACAACTTATATAGTTAAATGATTTATTTGAAACTTTTTTATAGCAAAGTAATTTGATGGGTTTTCTTTAGTAAAGTATATTGTCATAAGCTACTTTAAAGAGTTTGCCCCAAGGAAATATAGATAGCCATGAAAATACAATAAATACATGACTCATATTAAAACAATTTTTAAGGATAGCAGGAAGGCAGAGTAGTAGAGAAGATTTTAAATAATTTGAATTTATCAAACAGGGAAAGATAGGAAAATAATCCCAATGCTGCTTCCCCAATTTATAAAGGATATCGCACCTATCGCAACCGTTGTACCACCTTTTATAAGGAATATCTGGGGGAAACTATACCAGCCGATTGCCACTAATTATAAGGAAGTTAGCAGGGAATTTTAATATAGTGAATCCCACAAGCTGCCAACCAAATTATATTGATGCAGGGAGATTTCTAAAACAGGGAAGAGGCAATTTGATATATATATGAATTACGCCTGAACTGGGAGGTTTTGAAACTGTTTCTTCAATTGTTTTYGCTGCCACCTTTTGTTTGGTATTYAGGCTGAGTTGTATGTGGAGAGGATACTTAGTAACACCCTTTTGTGTTACAATAGTGTTTATTTTCTTCAGAGGGTTTAAATCCCAATGATGTTCACACTAAGGTTGTTATAAGGTATTAACAATAATAAAAYGTTTATTTAACAGGCTTAAACTTCTTCTGGTACAAATGCGTACTGGTTTCCGTAAGTTACTGGTACATAAGCTTTTGGTTACGTTTGATGTACAATTCTTAGATGGGTTCTGGGTTCAAATCTTGATGTTAACAAAACAGGAGATTATCTCAGGAAATTAATCGCTGATAATAATTCCAAACAAAATTCCCCCCTTTCTGGAATCTAACCAATAACCTTTGGCCTAGCCTTTCTCAGGGACAAAAAAMCAGACCACAATCAAGGTCCTATTCCCATTATTTGTATTCTTGCTATCTATTTCTATAGCTCTTGAATACCACAAAAGATTAAGCCAGCTCTCCTATCTAACACCAGCCAACTAAACGTTATCACCAACTGACAAACTCCCAATGGACAATTTCTAATTGCCAACTCCATCCTCAGTTCAAAAGGTACATTTTTTTCTTTTTGAATGCTAAGCTCCGCCCCCTATTTTCTAACCAATCCTGGCTGTCTAATCTCTGCTTCCTGGATGAAGACACACCCCCTCTAGGAAAACCTATTCTAAGATGGCATCTCCCTGTTTCCCTAATCTAAAATAGCCACCAGGGCTTTGCCAGGTCCACATTCTAACGGCTTGGGCTGCCAGGGCTTCGCCAGGCCCACATTCTAGATGCTTAAGGTAAGGAGTTCTTTACAACATACTTACCACAAGAGCAGAGAGCCACAGAGCCGTAACCTTCAACTTGTGAGTCTCCAAAGATGAAGAGCCCAAAAGGAGAGCTAGGATGCTCCATTGTAACAGCCTGATCCTCTTTTTTCAGACTGTATTCAGCCCAAGAATATTCTGTTCCTGGGACTGGTCTCCACTGGATGTTTCCTAAGGGCTCCTTCCCTAATTTGATTCCACTGATTTCTGAGGCTTTGGCTACGATGACAGCATAACTATCAAACTGACTCATTCCATCAATGTAGTATGAGTTACAGTAGCTTGTTAAAGCTGGGAAATTTATAAGGAATGGGTCAATCGCCAGACCTTCATTTGTGGCTCCTGTGAAAAAAAAGACAACCTGGATTCCAGCATCAGCAGAAAAATATAATGGTTCAGGGCTCTGCACTTGAAATTGGACAACTTCCCCTGCTTCCACGTTCCGGGTATCAGTTTTGGACCCAGACTGGTATTTGATCAAAGTAGCTTTGGAGGCAATCACATACACAATGTCAAATGTTTTCTGCAAGGACAATGGAGGGACAATGAAGGTGGTTCTCCAACTAGAAACAGGCAAGAGCTGTTCAACAACATGATCATACACCGTGTGTTGCACCGCAGAGCTGTGTCCACTCAAGATAGCCACAGGCTCTGTGGATTCTACTCTGGTGCCAGATAAATCATCTGCACTTTGGATCTGGAGTGTTTGAAAAGCTTCCAGGTTAGCAGAAAGTCTGGTTCCTGCACCATAGACCTTTCCGTTGAATGTCACAGGTCCTGTCAGATCAATCTCAACTCTAGTCGGGTTTTGATGGGCTACAACAGCAAATTCCTTGAATGTTTCTGATACAGTTCCTGGTGGGGTTATGATATAATGCAATGTGCCAAGCTGTTGGACTGGATACACTACAGTGGCGCCAGGAGAATAGGGCTTGTAACTGAGGGAGAAAACGGAGACGTCTTTGTTAGAACGTATCAGCACAGTTGCATCGAAGATGTCTGTTCCGATCATCTCTACAGAGGTAGGGAGTTCCACTGACACCATCTGTCCTTCGTTAACTTCAATAGTTGTGTGATAAGCAGGAATTTTCACGGTTACTGTGACTGAGGTTGCAGGATGATGTCCAGTTATAAGCAACACAAACCTAGTGTTTGGTACAGGTTGCCAGTTGTGAAGGAATGCTGTGACAAATTCCTTTCCCTTAGAACTCGATGCACAAGAGCCTAAAGGAAAAGAAGGAAAGTGTTATTGTGAAAATGCAAGATTCAAAACAGTTGTGCGCTTTCAAGTCAACCTCAATGTCTGATGATTTTTTGAAAGACAGGTCACAAGACTGTGCTATTATTTATTTGTAGCTCTAATCTGTTTTAGGAAATTCATGAATATGGCTTCCTTTTAAACACTTTTCCCCTCTTTTTCTCTTATATTGAATGTAGGTAGTTCAGAATGAAGCAATTTGAATGAATTTCAGGACACTAAAAAAAAGGCCTGAAATTCATCATGAGATATATAGCTTTGTAAGTAGGCTTGCATATGTGGCAAATCATGTCAGAACAATGTTACTGCTTCAACAATATAGTCTGCCTAGCAGAGTACGGAAGCTTATGAGCACATATCCTTTTAGAGCAGTGGTTCCCAACCTGTGGTCCGTGGACCGCTAGTGGTCCGCAAGAACTAAAATATGATCTGTGGCCTCAGTTACTACACCACTGCAACGAGAGTGACGGGTCTCACAAAACCCTCTTATAGTGCTGAGGGTTATTAAATATGTTTTTCTGTGGGTGAACAGATGGCAACTACTGGATGGCATATGTTTTGTATCAGAAACTAGAGGTGATGTTGTCTATCCAGTTCAATTTTCTGAATCAGCACCCCAAATAATCAAACTGAATCTAAAGTTGACCAAAAACCGATTTGTAATCCTTTTGGTACTAATGTTGGAGAGTGGTCCCTGGTCAAAAAAAGGTTGGGAACCACTGCTTTAAAAATATACCAGCTCCTTCATATGCAGTGTGGCCCTGAATTCAAGTCCTGACTAACAAAAATGCACTTGAGTCAGTTGTGCTTTTAAAGTAGAAATGAAAACAGTTCATTCACTAAGAACAACCAAGTTACAATACAGTTCACAGTAGTTGCTCTCACCACAGGAACAAAACAAACACTTCTCTAAGTATATTTCTTCTTGATATGACAACAGGAAACTAAAGCAATAAACAGTTTTATTTCGTTCTTCTTCACGAAATCAGGATGCCCTTGACTGGTAGTGCAGTGAGATAAACTTTCAATCTTGACGTTGATATCAGCTTTCAGCTACTAGTCGCCAACTACCAAGCAACACCTGCTAGCTTAGAGTTTGATTTTATACAGTATGCCTAATAACAAACCCAACTAACAACAACAACAACAATATCAACTTTTTTTTATACACCACCACCATCTCCCATATAGGGACTCAGGGCAGCTTACAAAGCACACAATAGTGCCACAGAACAAATAAGATGCAATATATCAACATTAAAGCTAAGAAAACATTCAAAAGCAGCCATATAAAATTAACATGAGCTATTAAATAAATAATATATGGCAACAGTCGTTAATTGAAAGATCCATACAATCAATTTAGCCTTCACTGGCTAAAGATAGTAGTCTGGCTGCTATCATAAACATTATCAAAGGCCTGCAGAAAGAACCAAGTTTTTAGCTCTGTAGTACTGTGGTGTGGAGGCTTGCCTAAGTTCCCTGAGGAGGCCACCACCGAGAAGGCCCTCTCCCTCGTCACTACCAATCACATTTGAGATGGAGGCGGGACCAAGAAGAGAGCCTCCCCAGCAGATCTTAGAGCCCATACCAGTTCATTGGTTACCAATTGAGCACCGGATCATTTTCAAAGTGATGGTACTCACCTTTAAGGCCTTGCATGGTCTGGGGCCAATGTATCTGAGGGATCGTCTCACCCCCTACCAACCCCAGAGATCCCTCCGTTCTGAGGACCAAGATCTATTGGAGGTCCCCAGTGTCAAGACCTTGCGTCTAGCGGCAACCAGACGCAGAGCCTTCACAGCAGTGGCGCCATCAGTCTGGAATGCTCTGCCACCTGAGGTTCGTGCCCTGCGGGACTTACCAGCTTTCCGCAGGGCATGTAAGACATACCTGTTCCGACAGGCTTTTAATGTTTGATACTGTTGTTTTTAAATTGTTTTAAATTGCTTTTAAATTTTGTTAGATTTTAGCCATTCTTGTAAGCCGCTCCGAGCCCCAGGGGAGTGGCGGCATATAAGTTTAAATAATAAATAAATAAGTAAGATTTCACTGCATTTCTGCACCATGGCTATGGTTTTGAAAGTTACAAAACATAAACCATGGTGTAGAATCTAAGCCAGCCTTTTTATACGATACACAATTAACTGAATGATCTGAATGAACATGCTATCAATTTATGGCTATCTTCCTTAGACTAACAAAAAGACCACAAGTATAGAAATCACTGCGTCACAAGTTATGAAGGAAAAGGAATAATTCAGGCAAGTGCTAGTACTCTTGCAAAATAGCCCAGGGTCATGTTTCAGATGAGAAAAATGTTTGCTGTTGTTGTCAGATGATAAAACAAGACAAAGAAGAATTTACATACTTCTAGGCAGCCTACTGATGTGAATGTCTTTTTGGATATCCTTACCAAAGCAAGCCATTGTGCCATCTCGGATCTCACAGATTTCATCACTGGCACAACTGTGTGTTTCACAGGTCACCCCCCGACCAGGGGTACAATGGCAATGCTCCTGGCACCCATTTAGTAGAACTTGTTCATTAGGCTGATGGGAAATAATGATAAAGAAATTGGAATTATGAGGCTGTGCATAGGCATGGTGAGTAGTTATTTGCATGAGGAAAACTGAAAAACAAAGGGCACAGAGAAATTAATGGTGGAAGAACACAGTTGAAGGGATGGCCAAACAGGGAAACTTCACATAAATATTTCATTGCAGATTCTACATGCAAAAATAAAATGCATTGGTTAGTCCAGAAAAACATATTAATTAGATGAAAATTCTTGTTCAAATGTTAGTACAGTTAGTACCAATCCCCTCAAAGCTTTGCTGGAAATTATTTCATTTATTCATTTACAATATTTATATTCCGCCCATCTGACCCCGAAGGGGACTCCAGACAGATCACAGAACATACATATACGGCAAACATTCAATGCCATTTTATACACACAAGACAATTGTACATAGAAGGAGGTATATATAGGCTTTCCCCATACTCGGTATCTCAGTGGTGTGTGGTCGGTTCTGGCCATGATGGGGTGCTGTTGCTCCATCTCCATGCCATAGATTTGTAAACTTTCTCCTTTTTTGGTTGGATCATCCGGCATATTCTGGCATTTTTCATTTTAGGGGTGCCTTAAAATACCGTCCCCACTTTTAAGTGGTTCCTATTTATCTACTCACTTTCTTTTTTTCTTTTTTCTTTTGCTTTGGAACCACTAGGTTGGCAGAAGCTGGGCTAAAGGCCAGAAGATCACCCTGATCTGGGCTTTGAACTGTCAACCTTGCATTGACAAGATTGACTGCAGCTGGTGGTTTTTAACCTGGTGTGCTAAAGCCCCCCCCCCCCCCCAAGACAAAGCTAGATTCAAAATGCTATGGCTAAATGGTCACTAATTCACGGCTAGAATCCTGTTGGTGACACATACGTGCACAATCTGAAGTTGCATGCAGGTATATCCATGGTCTTTTATTGATTTGGGGAGGAAAGAAAGAGGAGTTGCCTAGGCAAAACCAGGCAAGTTACAGTTCTATCATTTAGTGAAGAAAGCTGATGTCATCCTCTCTTGTCTCCGGTGAGTCAATGAATATGCTTGAGACTGACATCAGCTCTTTTCACTTGGCTGTCACATTGCCTCTTTTGCTTTCTACCCAACATTTAGTCGATAGTGACAGTAGCACTCTCTAGGTACCTGAATGTTCTCTTCCATGGTGTGAGAAGGATGAAAAGCTGCATAAACAGAGCATTACCCCTCCTCCAAATCATCGATATCCTGACTTTTTCCTACTTCAAGATTCAAAGTGCCAACACATTTTTAAAATTTGCATAATACTAAAATTAAAAACTGATTAAACCATCAAACAAAATTAAACCAGTAAAAAAACATAAACCACAAAAACAATCAATCGAATTGTAGCCTGAGAGAAGGGAAAAACCATGGCAACAATTCAACTGAAGTTTTTAAAAAGTCTGAAACTGATCACAAGGGTAGTCTATAAAAATGAATGGTATTAAGGAAAGCACAAACACTTTAAAAATACTCGATCTGTTCCAAAACGACAGCAAGCCGAAAGAAGCTGGGAAAATAAAAATTGAAAGGTTGGTTTACCTTATAGTATCGTCCATTCTTGAAACACCCACAGCTTTCCTCAGGAACACAGGCAACACCATCAAAGAAATAGCCATCATTGCACTGGCAGCCTTCTGCGCAGCTCTCTGGACACCCTTTTGGGTTGGCAATCTTAGCACAACTGGTAGAGCAGAGGTCAGCACAAACCTCATAGTGACTGTTGGAGGGACAGCTAAGAGCTAATTTCAAAAAAGACATATATTAAGTGAAAAGATTCTCAGGATGGCTGGGCAATGGGGAGAACAGCTAGATTTCCCCCATCATCCAATGAAACCAAATTGTGGACAGTTCAGGCAAGACACAAGGAAGTTTTTCATATGTGTCATGAAGCAGAACTACCCAATGAATTCCCCAAAGATGATGTAAACAAAGACATGCATACATCAGTTCATCATGGAGAGAGCTTAGTTCAATAGCTCTTCAATTTGATGGCTTTGTCTTAAAATACTATGTTTCTCCATTCAAGCTGCCTGGAAACACAAACAGGAACCTAATACAATATGTAACATGATTTTTGTTCCTGGGTTATAAATGTCATTTCCTAATGGGTTCTACCATTAAAAAATGGAAAAGGTTTATTAAACTGCAATAACTTTGTTTCTGCAGGACATTCTGCAGCACATTTTGCCATAGTTTTCATTGTATGTCTGATAGAGTTTCAACTAATTTCATGGACAAGAGGGATCCTCTCACTCCTGCAGGAGTCTACCATATATACCATGCAGCTGTGGACAAGTCTACACAACCTCTGAGAATGCCTGCCATATATGCGGGGGGGAAACCAGGAGAAAATGCTTCTGGAACATGCCCGGAAAACTCACAACAACACCTGCCTTAAGCAGACAAGAGTTCTTTCTCTCACCCTGGATATTCCACAGATATCTATATAAATAAAAATGTAATGTTCGTTTGTGGGATCAAAATAACGCAAAAACCATTGGGCGAATTGCCACCAATTTGGCCACAAGACACCTATTAGCCCAAGGAGTGACCATCACTCAAAAAACATGGATTTGGTCATTTGGGAGTTGTAGTTGCTGGAATTTACAGTTCAACTACAATCAAAGAGCATCCTGAACCCCACCAACGATGGAATTGAACCAAACTTGGCACATAGGACTCCCACAATCAACAGGAAATTCTGGAAGGGTTTGATGGGCATTGACCTTGAGATTGGGAGTTGTAGTTCACCTACATCTGGAGAGCACAGTGGACTCAAACTATGATGGATCTGGACCAAACTTGGCACGAATACTCCATATACCCAAATGTGAAGACAGATGGAGTTTGGGGAAAATAGATCTTGACATTAGGAAGTTGTAGTTACTATGGATTTATAGTTCACCTACAATCAAAGAGCATTCTGAACCCTGCCTACGATAGAATTGGGCCAAACCTCCCACAAAGAAACCCCATGATCAACAGAAAATACTGTGTTTTCTGGTGGTCTTTGGCAACTCTTCTGACAGCCCTCACGACTCCCCCTCCAGGGGTCCCAACACTCAGGTTTAAGAAATGCAACGTTAGATCATCCAGTCCAACTCCCCTCACCAGGGGAAGAAAACATAATCAAAGCCCTCCTGACAAAGAGCCATCCAGCCATAGATATTGATAGATATATATGATTCACACACAGAGATATATGACAGATATAATATCATAGATTTGAAAGTGACCCCTAAAGAAGGAAAATAATATGTTGCATGTTCTAGAGTAGGCAAACCAGAAAATCTCTACATCAACACTGACAAAGAAACAACAAGAAGTACTATTTACCCACAAGCATAAAGAAATTACATATATTAGAAACCAACACTTTCTCGTTACTTTATTTTCGGGATCACCAGATTGGGCCACAACAACACGTGGCAGGGGACAGCTAGTATAAATATATAAACCTTCCTTGCTTAGTTTCCAATATACCTCACAACCCCTGAGAATAGATGTGGGGAAAATGTCAGGAGAAAATGCTTCTGGAACATGCTCATACAGCCCAGAAAACTCACAGCAACCAAATTCAACATAGTTTGTGGCAGCCACAAAAAATGAAATTTCTGGAGTATAACAACTACTTTCAAAGTAAGCATCACACAATGAAACAGGCAATAACACTTTCAAACCAGGAATAGAATTTTCTTCAAATTGTGTTCCATAGTTTTGTTGTTCTAATTTCCTGCTTGTGGTCTTTATCTTCCTTGTCTGAAAACCAATGGGCACGACTACCTTTGTATTTCTCTATGACTATATTTGTGTGATATAAATAAAATTATACCTCACAGAAAAGGTGATGCTATTGCCATTTCACTTCCCAATGCCCACCTACCCCATTGCTCAGTCTTGGTAGCTTACCACAAAAGGATGGACTTCTCCAACGCACAACAGAGACCCTGGCTTCTTGGCAGGCAGACATATAACTTTGGATGTTTCGGCACAAAACTTGGCTGTCTCCATTGCTCAGGCACAAATCATAGATACAATTATTGAAATACACGCTGGGGTCCACCTTGCTGTGGCAGGCTTTGAAGGGGCCATCAAGTGCAATGACAATCCCACAGTAGTTGCGCTGCTTGAAAATATCCTTCTTCCTTTCCTCACAGACTGGGCAGCTACTCCCAGAACATCCATGTGAGCAGGAGCTTTCTGCCTTGGGAATAAGAACCTTCCAGGAAGCCCCAAATGCAGTTGCATTAGAGATTACCATTCCATTGGGGAGGAGGAATTCGTCATCCTTCAGCCCATTGTAGTTCCCGCAAAGGCCTTGCACCTGTCCTCGGTAGGTGCCTGGGATGGTGACTGTCATGTGGTAGACTAAGTCATAGCCCACAGTGAGGCCAAAGTCAGCTTCTATCAATACTTTCATGCCATGCTGATAGGCTTTTAGCCTTCCTTCAGAAAGGGTCACAGGAAGTGGTTGGAGGACTTCACCCACCTTTGAGAAAGAAAATTAACGTGTTATAGTAATGACATTTTGTGAAGAAGTCATGTTTGATTGCCAGAAAAAAAAAAGATATATTATTTTAATTGAGCTCTGGCCCTTCATGCTTCTAGTATAATGTTAAAATAAAATTCAAGACATATTTATAATTTTTATTTCGTTCAGTTGTGATGCACCATACCTATCTAAAACATGCACTGAAAGAGATAGAGGGAAATGCCATTTAGTGACCTTTGAAAGAGCCTAAAAGAGACAGCTATTCTTCCATTCAGCTGTAGAATACTTACTGTGTATACTTGAGTATAAACTGAGTTTTCAGCCCTATTTTTAGGCTGAAAAAGCCTCCCTCAGCTTGTACTTGAATCAAGGTTATTTATTATTTTACTCTGTTATTATTATTACATTATTTATTTATTTATTTACAGTATTTATATTGCACCCGTCTCACTCCGCATGGAACTCAGGGCGGATTACAGTGTACATATACATGGCAGACATTCAATGCCATAGACACACAACATAAATAGACAAACACAGAAGCAATTTTAAACTTAATGAGAGTATGCTTGAATTCCAGCCATCGGGGGAGCTGTTGCTTCACGGTCCACCGAGTCCTTGATGGAGTACTTCCTCATTCTTTCGCCCGCTGCTGGAGATTTTTTTATGACATCATAAATTAGTTAAATTATCCTCCCCGCATAAGCGGTATCTAAATTTCCTACTTGACAGATGCAACTGTCTCTCGGTTTGCAATGGTTGACAGCAAGCTAGACAAATGGTTGGGAGCTTACTCTGACTCGGGCTGGCTCATGACTTTTGGTCAGTGGTGATTTAATGCAGCTGACTCCTAGCTAACTGCACCACAACCCAGTCCCTATTATTATTATTATAACATTTATTATTTTGCTCTATTTATTATTATTATTACATTTATTATTCACTCTATTATTATTACATTTATTATTTAACTCTATTTTAATCTACATTTATTATTTTACTTTATTATTATTGGATTTATTATTTAATTCTCTGTATTATTGTTATTACATTTATTATTGTTGCATTTATTGTTTTACTCTATTATTGTTATTATTACATTTATTATTTTACTCTATTATTACTGTTATTGTTACATTTCTATTATTTCATTCTATTATTATTTTATTGCATTTATTATTTTACTCTCTTTATTATTATTGGCAGGATATGTAAGAACATTTACACTGAAGGAGGTTAGAATAATGGTTTAATCAGAGTTGGACAGTCCTACCTTAAATTACAGTTTTATGTAAGCATTCAAAAACATTTAACCTATCAATGCCTCAATTAATGTAATTGTATTGGTATCTATTTTTATTTTGAACTGTTTCAGTAGCTGCTGCATTTCTCACCCTCGGCTTATACTCGAGCCAATACATTTTCCCAGTTTTTTGTGTGGTAAAACTAGGTGCCTCGGCTTATACTCAAGTATATACGGTACCAATTGCTTGCACAAAAAGAACAGCTAAAGAGGAGATTTTCCAAATATAATGAGAGTTCAATGATAACGAACTCTGTGAATATCATTCCAAAATACGAAGAGAGTTTAATGGCCTGCAGGCGAATGACCTAAAATTGCCTGTTTCCTTGTAGCACAGACTTACCTTCACTTGTCCTGGTTTGTTTTGCACTAATGTCACTGTAAGACCATACACCATGAGAGAGATTGCCTTGGTATCGGAGCTCTTCCCATCACCATAAACCTCATTGTCCACACTGACTGTGAATGGAATCAGTCCCTCATTTTCAGTGCTACTTGCAGCCAAGGTGTATGTACATGAGCCTTGGAAATTAAAGTACAGCCCATCAAAGGAAACATAGTGAGTGGTGCCAAAAACTGAGCAGGTAGAGCTGCCAATTGAGTGACATTTCTGAACACCATCAAGCAGCCTGCATTCTTCATCAGGACCACAGGAGTTAGCTTCACACTTCACAGTCCCTCCAGGCTGACATATACAACGCTTCTCACATGTTGGGTAGAACGTTTCTTCTTCCAAGTAATAGCGATCCTCATAAAGGCAGCCACATTGGGATATGGGAACACACTGATCGCCACTATGCACAAAGCCTTCATCGCACACACAGCCTTCTTGGCATTTGGATGAACAAGGGACAGAGATGCTGCCACAGGAAGTCTGGGTACAGCCCTGAGCACAGAGTTCATAGTGGCTATTTGCAGCACAAGGCAGATCTGGCAAATGGAAAGAACAAGAAAAATTAAAAGAGAGGGGAAGAAATAAGGTGGGATTCCATAATAATGGTTTTATAATCAGAGGTAATTTTCAATGATAAACAAACAGTATTTTGCCCCCCCCCCCCCCCCCCCCCCCCCCCCCCCCCCCCGCTCAACCAATCACTGATATATATTTTCTGTTCGTCATGGGAGTTCTGTGTGCCATATTTGGTTCAATTCCATCATTGGTGGAGTTCAGAATGCTCTTTGATTGTAGGTGAACTATACATCCCATTAACTACAACTCGCATATGTCAAGGTCTATTTTCCCTCAAGAGCGCCCCCGGGCAAAATCAACTATACTGCAAATGCTTACTTAGCGTAATGGGTTGAGCCGCCCCTGTGTATAATAATGGTATGGAGTAATCTGGAGGCAACTTTCGGGCTTTTTTGTGCCAAGAGCAACTTGAGAAACTGCAAGTCACTTCTGGTGTGAGAGAATTGGCTGTCTGCAAGGACGTTGCCCAGGGGACACCTGGATGTTGATGTTTTACCATTCTTATGGGAGGCTTCTCTCATGTCCCCGCATGGGGAGCTGGAGCTGACAGAGGGAGCTCAACCCACTCTCCCTGGATTCGAACCACTGATCTGTTGGTCAGCAGTCCTGCCAGCATAAGGGTTTAACCCATTGCGCCACTGGGGGCTCCATCTACTTCTTGAAATTTTTGGCTGAAAACAAGTATTTAATCTACTGCTCAAAATTGAGTCCATGCTTAATGAAATGCAGACTTTCATGACCATTTTGTCCTTCAGGAGGCTAGTGAAATTCTGGTTATGGAATATATATATATATATATATATATATATATATATATATATTCTTTCCTTTCCCCTACCCCCTCCTCACCCCTCTCCCTCCCTCTCGTACACCCCTATGATCACTCTCCCCATTTTTATTGCTGTATAAAGAAAATTTACTAATAAAAATTATATATATATATATATAGAGAGAGAGAGAGAGAGAGAGAGAGAGAGAGAGAGAATGCTCCTGGAACATGGCCATACAGCCCAGAAAACCACAGCAACTCAGTGATTCCGGCCATGAAAGCCTTCATCAACATATCCCAATAGAGATTTTCCTTTTGGAGAGGTTGAATTTAATGCACAAATAATGAAACGGCGCTGCAGTATCGCTTTTAAAAATGAAAACACAAGGATTCCTGAGCTTAGAAAAACACATTATGCTGTATAAAACACACCATGCCTATTGTAACGTACTGGCCTACTGTGCAGGGCTGGTGTTTGGTTCCTTGAAGGCCAAGAATGTTAAGATCTTCCAGAGAGGCCCTGCTCTCTGTCCCACCACTTTTGCAAGTGCATTTGGTGGGAACAAGAGACAGGGCCTTCTCGGTGGTGGCCCCTCGGCTATGGAACTCTCTCCCGAGCGAGATTACATCTGCCCCCTGCCTCTTGTCCTTCAGGAGGCTAGTGAAATCCTGATTATGGAATGAAGCATTCCCAGAATAATGGCTGAGACTGGTTACAGACCAAAGTGAGTGACCACATATGCCGACTGAGTTGAACATGATTTTACCTTGGCGATTTGGCATATATGTGTTTTATCTATTTGTATTTTAATCTTGTATTGTTGTATGATGTTTTAACTTGTATTAGTAGCATTGAATCCTTGGTGTAAGCCGGTCTGAGTCCCTCTACGGAGGTGAGAAGATCGGGATATAAAAGTTTTAAATAAATAAATAAATAAATAAATAAGCCAGGCAGCCATTTTCTTAGCTCAGAACCAAGAGGGGGCGGAGCCAGCAGGCATCCATTTTGGTTAAAACAGAGCCAAGAGGGGGTAGAGCCAACAGGCAGCCTTGAGGATATGTGTAGCCACCTGATTGGTTAATAGCCCTGGCGTGAGAAAATGGGCGGAACTAAGATGAGACAAGGAAAAAAAAAGGAGCCATTTTAAAAGTCAGTTAGGGGTTTGGAATTTGGAGAAGTCAGTTGGGAGTTTGAAACTGACAGTTGGAGATTGGAGATGGCAGTTAGGAATTGAAAGGGAGGAAGAAGAAAGTTTAGCTTGTGTTATATAATAGTTACTTCAAAGGAAGAACTATAAGTTTCAACAGACCCTGGAGGATTGAGCTGTTTGTATTTGAGGGAACTGTTTAGTAGAGTACTAAAAGTTTCTCAGTTTAAAGTTTTTGACTGAAACCTGTAATTCAAGCACAGAATTACTTCTGAAACTGTAACGCTTTGTACAAATTTACTGCAACCATAAAGCTTATGTGCCTGTTCTAAGTAAATAAATAAACATCTTTCTTGTTCATACCAAACAAAAGCCTCTGCGTGCCTCATACAACCTACACACATAAGATAGCCTGTTGAAGCGTTCTATATTTTGTGGCAGCATATGACAAACTTTAAGAAAAATAAACCTACAGTTGGAGCGACACAAAGTGAGGATATTCTTAACAGCTATTCAGTGTCTCCCCATTGCAATTGGTGGCAGCTCAGTCTGAAGATTTGTGTTTTGCCCTGTGCTAATCCCTTTACACCAGTGTTTCTCAATTTTCCAAATGCCGTGACCCCTTAATACAGCTCCTCATGTTGTGATGACTCTCAACCATAACATTATTTTCGTTGCTATTTCAGAACTGTAATTTTGCTCCTGTTAGGAATTGTAATGTAAATGTATTTTCATTTACTGGACCAAATTTGGCACAAAGACCCAATATGCCCAAATTTGAATACTGGTGGGGCTGGGCAGGGGGATTGGTTTTGTCATTTGGGAATTGTAATTGTTGGGATTTATAATTCACCTACAATTAAAGAGCATTCTGAACTCCACCAATAATGGAATTGAACCAAACTTGGCAAACGCAACTTCATGACCGACATTAAATACTGGAAGTTTTTGGTGGGCTTTGACCTTGAGTTTGGGAGTTGTAATTCACCTAAATCCAGAGAGCACTGTGGACTCAAACAATGGTGGATGTGGACCAAACTTGGCACAAATACTTAATATGCCCAAATGTGAACACTGGAGTTTGGGGAAAATAGACCTTGATATTTGGGAGTTGTAGTTGTTGGAATTTATAGTTAACCTACAATCAAAAAGCATTCTGAACTCCCACCAATGATGGAATTGAACAAAACTTGGCAAACACAACTCCAGGACCGACATAAAATAGTAGAAGCAGGCCCGTAGCCAGGATTTTGATTCGGGGGGGGGGGGGGGGTGCTGAGTCTGAGTGAAAGAGGGTCTACCCTAGCAAACCTTTTGTATCGTTACCCCAATACCCCCATGCATATGGGATATATTGAGTATGGTGATCAGATCATGATATGAATAAACATAAGAGTTTAAATAATGCACCAGTAAGGCCTTCTCGCAGACCACCATGAGAATTTCGGGGGGGGGGGCTGAAGCCCCTCAAGCCCCCCCCCCCCCGGCTACATGCTTGAGTAGAAGGGTTTTGGTGGGCAGTGACCTTGAGTTTGGGAGTTGTAGTTTAAAGGTAAAGGTTGTCCCCTTACAAGAGCCGGCGTTGTCCATAGACACCTCCAAGGTCATGTGGCCGGCATAACTGCATGGAGCGCCGTTGTATTTATTTATTTATTTATTTATTTACTTTATTTGTATACCTACATCCAAAGACCACTCTGGACTCAAACAATGATGGATCTGGACCAAACTTGGCACGGGTACTCAATATGGCCAAATGTGAACACTTGTGGAGTTTGGGAAAAATAGACCTTAATGTTTGGGAGTTGTAGTTGCTGGGATTTATAGCTCTCCTACCATCAATGACCATTCTGAACCCCACCAACAATAGAATTGGGCCAAACTTCCCTCACAGAACCCCAATGACCAACAGAAAACCCTGTGTTTTCTGATGGTCTTTGGGGACCCCTCTCTTACACCCACTCAGGGGTCCTGACCCCCAGGTTGAGAAAGGCTGATTTACACCTATGCTCTCTTGCAACTAGAAAATCTATTCATGACAGTAGCACTCACTGCAGAAGGTATCGGATCTCCAAGGTCCAAGGGTTGCCCCAGCTGCCTGACAGGCTGCTGCATAGTTCCTGATGGCCTGGCAGATAAAAGCTTGCTGGCTTTTGAAGATGCAGGAATCATACACACAATCTTCAAAGTATTCCTCTGGATTAATTCTGGTATGACACATTTGGAAAGGGCCTCTCTTGGATAGAATGAGTCCACAGTCCCTTCCAAGACGCCGCTGACGGCTCCTTAGGACTGACAGTCCAGGGCATTCTTCTTTCACCACCTCGGTACAGCCTGGTGTCCCCTGCACTATCCAGCTCTCACTAAAGGTAGATGGACTCAGAGACACTTTCCCATCTGTCATGGTCATCTCGTCAAGTTTGTTGCCATTGAAGTTCCCACAGAGACCACAAAGGGTACCAGCATAAGTACTAGGCGTAGTTACAGTGATCCAGTTTTGTCCGTCAAAGGTGACAGTTAGGTGGAAGTCAGTCTGGACCACTGTCTCTTGCCCTCTCCTATAGAGGAGGATCTTCTTGTTCCTAGTTCTGTAAGGCAGGTTGATTAAAAAGCCATTCACCTAGGACCATTAAAAAAAGGAGATAAGAATTTCAGGTGCGCCTTTCTAATATAAGATGGGGTCAGAATAAAAATAAGCAAAATCCTATCAGCAGAAGGATTTCTGTTTTTGCACTGCTTTGTTATTGTTCATTCGTTCAGTCGTTTCCGACCCTTCGTGACCTCATGGACCAGCCCATGCCAGGGCTCCCTGGTGGCCGTCACCACCTCCAGCTCCTTCAAGGTCAAGCCAGTCACTTCAAGGATGACATCCACCCATCTTGCCCTTGGTTGGCCCCTCTTCCTTTTTCCTTCCATACCAAGACATATGAAGATTGTTAATTAAAAACCCCATACCTACCAGAGGAGATTAAAAACAGTCTTCATATCTCTTGATAAGAGGTTTTTGCTTGGTTTACAGTCAGCTGCAGTGCAAAAACAGGTAGCTCTAGTCTTTCTAATTTTATTAATAATAACTTTATTATTATGAATTAGCATGGACTTTGGTTGAAAGCAGAGACCGTGCAAAAACAGGTAGCTCTGGTCTTTCTAATTTTATTAATAATAACTTTATTATTATGAATTAGAATGGACTTTGGTTGAAAGCAGAGACAGAGAAAAAGATTGCCATACAAAATATTCACTTGATGGTTCCAGAAAGTAGGAAAATAAATGTATTGTTGAAGGCTTTCATGGCCAGAACCACTGGGTTGTTGTAGGTTTTTCTGGCTGTATGGCCATGCTCTAAAAGCATTCTCTCCTGACATTTCGCAGGTGTAACATACTGGCCTAGTGTGCAGAGCTGGTGGTTCCTTAAAGTCCAAAAAGCCAAGCAGTCATTTTCTTAGCTTAGAGCCAGAAGGGGCGGAGCCAACAGGTAGCCTTGAGAGTGTGTGTTGCCACCTGATTGGTCAATAGCCCTGGAGGGAGAAAGTGGGCGGAGCTAAGGCGAGGCAAGGGGGAAAAAAGGACCGTTTAAAAAGTCAGTTAGGAGTTGGAGTTTGGAATTGACAGTTGGAGTTTGGAGATGGCAGTTAGTAATTGAAAAGGGAGAAAGAAGGAAGTTTAGCTTGTGATATATTCTTAATAGTTGCTTCAACGAAGAACTATTGATGTAAACAGACGCTGGAGAATTGGGCTGTTTGTATTGGAGAATCCGTTTAGTGGAATACTAAAAGTTTCTCAGTTGAACCTGTAATTCAAGCACTGAACTACTTCTGAAACCGTAACGCTTTGTACAAGTATTGCTGCAACCATTAAGCTTCTGTGCCTGTTCTAAACAAATAAACAAACATCTTTCTTTGTTAATACCAAACCATACAAACTACACACATAAGTAGGCCCGTAGCCAGGATTTTGTTTCGGGGGGTGTGTGTGTGATTTTTTTTCAGGGGGGGTTCGGGGGGGCTGAGTTTTGGGGGGGGGGTTGAGTTTTGTAATACAGTATTACAAAAAAAAAAAAAACCTTTTAAAGAAGTGTGGGAAATTCCCTGCCCAGTGGCCTTTTGAGAGAACTATGGGAGAAGTTGTTCTATGGTGCTTCGCTGAAGGTGAAGAAGATTTGTTTTCATGTCAGGAGCAACTTAAGAAACTGCAAGTCGCTTCTGGTGTGAGAGAACTGGCCATCTACTAGGACATTGCCCAGGGGGTGCCTGGATGTTTCTTGATGCTTTACTATCCTTGTGGGAGGCTTCTCTCATGTCACTGTGTAATTAAAAATGTAGATTTTAGGTATGTTTATTATTGTCAGTTGATGGGTGGCCTCAGTTCCCTATTCTCATTTGCATTTTGGGCCGCCCGGTCGCCAAGGGCCCAGAGGGGCCTCCTTGGCAAGTGAGAGACTTGTGCTCCTGCCACCATCTCACAAGTGCACTGGGGGGAAGGGAGTGAGGGAGGGAGGAGACCTGGCTGTGATTGTGATGCGGCAGGAGTGGTAGTGACGTGGTGGAGGGGCTTTGGGTCCCTTCATCTGAGTCTGAGAGGCTCAGTCACTGGTCCTTAGAGAGCTTTGCCATGGCCTTCTTCTGAGTGTACCCTGCCCAAGTCCATCCAGGGCCGAGCAAGGTGGGCTGCAGACCCTCCTCTAAGCCACGTTCCCTCACTATAAAGAGAGCTTTGCCTGGCCTTCCTCTGAGGCTGAGAGAGTATGGCTCATCCTCTAACACTTCCTCCCATTGAGAAATTTCTCCTTAAGCAGACACTCGAGCCTCTTTCCTGGCATGGAGAAGCACTGAGCTCATCATCCAATGTTCCAGGGTTGAAAAGAGACTGAAATGTCCTGAAAGGAGGGAGCTCTGCACAGGGGCCAGTGATCTATCTATATAAATAAAAATGTAATGTTCGTTTGTGGGATTAACAGAACTCAAAAACCACTGGACGAATTGCTGCCAAATTTGGCCACAAGACACCTACTAACCCAAGGAGTGACCATCACTCAAAAAATGATTTTGTCATTAGGGAGTTGCAGTTTCTGGGATTTATAGTTCTGTTTTGGAATACATGTGCACATGGTAGGGTGGAAAGGATTCCTGAATCAACACGTATGGAGTCCTGGAATCAATTCTTCATGAATATTGCAAGCCAACTGCTTTAAGCAATCTTGGGAAGTGATACCACACAGATACAGAATGAAGAGAAAAAAGGTGCTACAAAATAATCTGCCATAAATAGATGCAGAAGATAAGTAGAGAAACAGAATGTGTGAATTAAAGAGAAATTAAATCTACCATAAAAAGGAAGTACTGTATATAAACTCACCATGACTTTTCCAGGGTGTTCTCTACTTATCACAATCACTGTTCCTTCCACCCTGACCTCTGCCATCTTTGGGAAGATGACAGAATGGCTGACAGAATGGTCGTTTTGGACACGAACCTGGAAATCCACCAAATCTTTTCGCTTCTCACAAAGCCCTGTCAACTGATATATACAAGTGCCCTGGAAGTCAAACTTCTGACCATCAAAGCTACTGTAATGAGTGCCCCTTGAAGCAGAACAGGTGGCGTAACTGGTGGGATAGCAATTCTGGATGCCACCTTCCACCCTACAGTGCTCTCCGCTCCTACAGCCTCTCGTCTTGCAGATCACACGCTTGGTCCCTGGGTCACAGGTGCAGCGACTTGTGCAGCTGGAATCTCCCCAGAATTGCTCTCCTGGAGAAAAGAGCTTTCCTTCAAAGAGACAGCCACAGTCACTCTTGGGAATGCATTTCCCAGCGCCCCACACAAAGCCTTCATTGCACTGGCAGGTCTCAATGCAAGGCAATGAGGCACAGCTGCTGGGAAGAGCTTCGTTGTTGCAGGTAATGGGACACGCAGGTCCACAGGCCTTGTATTGGCTGTTTGCGGGGCAAATTAAGGACACTGTGGAAGGAAGAAGACACAAGTTAAAAACATAAAAGATCTAATGGTGACAAAGCTACAAAGATGAACAGCTTTTGCTTTAACCCAGTCCATAAAGCAGTGGTTCTCAACCTGTGGGTCCTCGGGTGTTTTGGATTACAACTCCCAGAAATCCCAGCTGCGCTGTGGCTCAGCTAGTTAGTAGCCAGTTGCATTAGATCAATACTGACCAAGAGGTCATGAGTTTGAAGCTAGCCCAGCTTGGAGTGAGCTCCCAACCATTAATAGTCTAGATTTCTGTTGACCTATGCAGCCCAAACAACAGTTGTATCTGTCAAGTAGGAAATTTAGGTACTGCTTTATGTGGAGAGGCTAATTTAACTAATTTACGACACCACAAAACCTTCCAGCAGCCTACATAAGAATTAGGAAGTACTGCATCAAGGACACACAGGTCCACAGGCTTTGTATTGGCTGCTTGCCGGGCAAACTAATAAGGCTGAGGACGGAAGAAGACAAGTTAAAAACAAAAAATATTGAATGCAAATAAAGCTATAAAGATGAACAGTTGTTGCTTTAATCCAGTCCATATGGGTATACCTCTCATGGGCAATCTCTATTCCTAGCATTTCTATTTGTTCTGAATCCTGCTACCCAGCATCTTCCTGGGATACTCACAGCATCCAGTGGGTGTTCTCCAGTCAGAAACAGCAATTCCTTCTTTCTGGCAAGTTTCTGCATAATTCTTCAGGGATTCACAAAGCACTTCCTTCAGCCCGTCACTCAAACATACATCATAGACACAGTTTTCCAGAAAGATTTCAGGGCTGATCTCAGAATGGCATTGGCTGAATGGGCCATTCCCTCCTTTGGTGATCCAGCCACAGAAGGGTTCCGCTTTATATTTTTTGGCCAGTGCGAAGGAGCAGCTTTTGCAACCCTCTGGTGGACAGTCATCCCAGCAGAATCTGTCCTCGTCCTCCACCTTCCAGCTGCTCCCAAATTCCACGGGACTGGAGGCCAAAGTTCCACTGGGGGTGGTGAAATCATCTCTGGGGTCATTGTTGTAGTTCCCACAAAGGCCGCACACACGATCTGAAAATCTCTTGTGGATTTTGATCTGCAAAAAGTTACCCCAGTCATAGGAGACTTTCAGGGAGAATTCAGTCTCAATACAAACTGAATCCCCATTCTGGTAGAGACGGAGCTTCCCTTCGTTCAAGGAAATAGGCAGGTGGGACAGTTGGTTCTCCACCTGCAGGAGAGAACACACACAACCAAGGACAGGTTGAATTTTATTTTGTTATAAAGGCGTCATATATCAGTCTATTGACAGGGATAGAGTAGGGTTTTAAAAATTACTTGCAGTGTATTGTCGAAGGCTTTCATGGCCAGCATCACTGGATTGTTGTAGGGTTTTCGGGCTATATAGGCATGTTCTAGAAGCATTCTCTCCTGACCTCACAACCTTTGAGGATGCCTGCCATAGATGCAGGCGTAACATCACAAGAGAATGCTTCTAGAATATGGCCATATAGCCCCCCAAAAACTTCAACAACTCAATTACTTGCAGGTTTTTTTCTTGATCAGTTATGGGATAGAATCTTTTTGAAAACAATTAATTCAAATTATCCGTACTCAACAACAAGAAATAACACTAGAGGAAATATACAGCAAACAAAAGCACTGAATCTTGAAACGTCTGTTTGACTTCACACATTTTGATTGAAAATTGGCTTCTGAAATCAAATTCAGATTATTATTATCATCGGCCAAGCCAACACTATTTTCTGCACAGAATCAAGAATACAAATTTTGCTCTTAATTTAGTTGGGAGACAGAACAAAGTTTTTAAAAAAATTACATAAAAAGGGGGAGAGGTAAGGGGGGAGTTTTATGGGAATGGAAAAATCCGTGGGAGGTTAAAGGGAGGAGGGGCAAAAGGGAGGGAGGATTTGGGATTGGGTGGGGGTAAAATATGAGGATAGATTTTTAGGATAGGAGGGGAAGGGAAAGGGATACGTTGTTGGCTTCCTGTCTTCTCATTTCTGGGATATTGCATCTCCTTTATTCTCCTGTACTTGATCCTCTTCTTCAAAGTTAAAAAGGCTATCAGCCCTTTTCTTGTTCATAATTAAGTCCACATTTCCATTTTTTCTTTTACCATAAACCCTATTAGTCAACTCCAATTTGCTTTTATTTTGGTTTGTTTATTTCTTATTTGGTGAAATTAGAAATATAGATAGCCTGACTCACCAAATGAGACAGAACAAAGTTGTTGACATTGTTATAGTATTATCTTGAAAGGTTGTTCTACTATTGTTGTTCCAGGTAACTTCCTTTATGTACTTGCCCCTGAGACTGAAAGATTAGGCCTATCTACACATCATTCACAGCAATGGTTCTCAACTTTATTAATGCCACAATCCCTTAATACAGTTCCTCATGTTGTGGTGGCCCTAAGCATACAATTATTTTCATTACTATGTCATAACTGTAATTTTGCTACTGTTATGAATCATAATGTAAATATCTGATATGCAGGATGCATTTTCATTCACCAAATTTGGCACAAATACCACATATGGCCAAATTTGAATACTGGTGGGGTTGGAGGGGCACTGATTTTGTCGTTTGGGAGTTGTAGTTGATGGGATTTATAGTTAACCTATAATCAATGCGCATTCTGAACTCCACCAATAATGGAATTGAACCAAGAACTCCCAAGACCCAACAGAAAATACTGGAAGGGTTTGGTAGACATTGACCTTGACTTTTGGAGTTGTAGTTCACCTACATCCAGAGAGCACTGTTGACTCAAACAATGATGGATCCTAACCAAACTTGGCACAAATACTCATTACGTGTCCAAATGTGAACACTGTTGGAGTTTGGGGGAAATAGACATTTTGGAATTGTAGTTGCTGGGATTTATAGTTCACCTACAATCAAAGAGCATTCTGAACCCACCAATGATAGAATTGGATCAAACTTCCCACACAGAACCCCCATGACCAACAGAAAATACTGTGTCTTCTGATGGTCTTCGGTGACCCCTCTGAAAACCCCCTCTTGACCCCCCCCCAGGCATCCCAACCCCCAGATTGAGAAATATTGATTCAGAGCATTTTGCCATTTCATTGTTAAATCAGAATGCTTGTTCTTGTTACTATGAACATAACAGCTTGATATGTTACCAAAACAAAACAATGACAGGTAATTGTAAGCAGCAAGTTAAGGAGAAGGAAATATTGCAAATGTGGGGTTGGAGAACTCATCATACTATGCAAACGAAAGAGAGACAAATGAGATATAACAAAGAAGGAATTATGTTTGAGCTTGTTTTTAAACATGATTACATGAAATTATTTATAAATGACTCATATTCAGAATAAAAAGATACTGACATTTGGAATGATGTTTATCCAAGTCCCCTGGGCTTAGAATCCTGAAATTTGAAAACTAACTATGAATCCCTGTATTCAGAACCAATTCTGTTATGAATTAGGGTTGCCATCACCGCACTTTTCCTCCTGTTTACAACAATCTTCTCTAAGCTTGGACTAGATATACTTAAGGATTTCAAATACTGGAGAAAGATGCTTCATTCAATTAAAATTTCATCATCCTTTTAACTTATATGATTCAAATTTTTTTAAAAAATGTGAGCACATAGAACAGATAAATTATTTTTCTTTTTTGAGAAGATTAATTGGACAGGAAGATACACATTTGGAACAGAAAAATATGCTTTTCCTTGTGCAATAAAAGAAAAAACAATGTTACACATAAAGATTGAGAAAAATGAACCATCAACATTCAATCCATTATAACATGCAAACAAAAGATGAAGCAAATAACCCAATTGGTCTTTGAAAAAAGGACATTTGAGAAAGCAAACATAAAATGGAAAATTGATTGTCTTCCTGCCTTACCCTCACAAATCCAATCTCATTTCTGGAGACAGAGATGGTGATGTTGTAGACTGTGATGGTCACATAACCAGCATAAGAAACACGAGGATTGCCCCTGTTTTCATTCTTGGCCTCAATCTTGAAAGAAGGGAGAGCTGCATCCAAGCTGCATGTCTTGGCGACAGTGTAGGTACAAGTGCCCATGAAGTCAAAGGTCCTCCCATCAAATGTGTGATAATGGTGATATCCTTGTGCCCAGCAGGTAGATTCAGATTTTGGCACACATACTGGGTGTCTCTCTATGATCTCGCACGTTTCATCCTTCCCACATTTGATCAAGCTGCATGAAGCAACTGGGTCATCTAGAGAAGAACAAGTCCAAGCAATTTGTTTAAAACGGCTAATACTTGATAGCATCTCTAAACATGTTGTCAGTCAAAAGCTACAATTGGACAACTTTAAGGTGCTAACTTACTAATTATGCAAACAAGATAGAAATTGCGAAAATGAAATTTGTTTCCATTGATTTATCTGAAAGTGAGTGAATATGTGTGTGTATATATGTTTTGTTTACCACCTGGATATGGCGCCCCCGGTGGTGCAGTGGGTTAAACCCTTGTGCTGGCTTTTTTTTTTGCCGCCACGTCACATTGTTGGCTCATGTTTAACTTGTTGCCCTCTCTATCATCTATCTATCGCTATCTTTTCTAAACTGGAAAACAAATAACACCATTTGAGGAATTGATAATAAAAGGATTAAAAAGAGAAAATAGTGAGCAATTAAAAGAACAACAAATAAAATATATAAAGGACACAGGAAAAAAGAAAATATACACATTAAGAGAATTATGGAAGGAGGAAGGAGGAACAAAGATAACTGAAAAAGAATGGGAAGAGATATGAAAAGCAAGACAATTAAAAAAAAACATGTCAATTAGAATAAAAGAAAATTATGTGCATGTGTACTTACCAGAAGAGGCTGGAAGGGGTCGTGGGCGGGGTCCAGGGCGGGGTGGGGGAGGTGGCGAGCCGGCGGATGGTTGGCAGCAGGGAGCGTGCCTTTGGGCCCCAGATGGTGGCTGGGCCCTGGCGGGGAGGCGGAGCGCTAGCAGCGCCCCCTCAGCCTCCCTCCCCACCAGGAGGGCCCCGAGCGCTCCCTGTTTTTGCCACCTCCCTTGAGTCCTGGCCCTGGCCCCACCTCCATTCTGGATGGTCCTCGGGGCAGCTGGGAGTCCTAGAAGATTCCCCTCCATCGCTTCCTCCCTTCTCCTGGGGAGGAGGGGCTGGAGGGGGCCCTGTTTTCTTGGCACCTGGAGCTGCCTCCTCGTCTGGGGTTTTGGCCTGGCCCTGCCTGGGATTGGTGCGCCGAGGGCAGAGAATATGTGGGGCGGAACCAGGCAGGGCTCCTTTGCTGCGTTCTCTGCAGCCAGTTTGCGGGCCCAAATTAGGGCCCGGTTCTCTTTTGCCTTCTGGGCCCCCCTTTCCCCAAGGGCCCAGAGGGGGCACCTTGGCATAGGAGAGCCTTGACTTCCAGTCATCATCACAGGATATCACAGGCTCACTGGGGAGGAGGGGCTGGAGGGGGCTCTGCTTTTTTGGGGGGCCGTGGCTGCCTCCCCACCTGGGGCACTGGGTTGGCCCTGCCTAGTAGGAGTGCCCCAAGGGTGGGGGATACACGGGGCTGAACTACGGTGGCTTTCCTATACTTGTTACTCTATGTGATGTTATGTTTTGTTATAGATAAGAGTCTAGAGTTGCTGATTTTATCAACTCCTGAGGAAGGGGATTGCTTTCCCCGAAACAGGGTACAAAAATACCCGCGCACCCCTGTTGAATGCCATTTGGACTTTTCCTTTGAAGACTTATTTTGAGAAGCAGTGCTCCATTTTATTTATTTATTTCATTTACTTATACCCCGCCCTTCTCACCCCGGGGGGGACTCAGGGCGGCTTACAGAGGAGGCATAATTAAATGCCTAACAATTGACAGTAATACAAATACAAAAAGCAGTTCAACAATTAGAATTAAAACATCAGCGCATAATAAAATATTAAGACAATCTCATGCTCGGGTTCAGAGTCCATATATCCATTCCATTCCGTTGTCCTTGTCTGTCGTCAGATCCTTAATTTAACTGCCAGCGTGTCCAAAGGCTTGGTCCCAAACCCAGGTCTTTAGTTTTTTCCTGAATGCCAGGAGGGAGGTCGCCGATCTAATCTCCCCGGGGAGTGAGTTCCACAGGTGGGGGGCCACCACCGAGAAGGCCCTGCTCCTCGTCCCCGCCAACCTCACTTGTGAGAGTGGCGGGGTCGAGAGCAGGGCCTCCCCAGAAGATCTTAAGCTCCAAGGTGGGACGTAGAGGGAGATCCGTTCGGACAGAGACGCTGGGGCCGGAACTGTATAGGATTTTATAGGTCAAAACCAGCACTTTGAATTGTGCTCGGAATTGGATCGGCAGCCAGTGGAGCTGGCGCAACAGGGGGGTGGTATGCTCCCTGTACGCTGCTCCGGTGAGCAATCTGGCTGCTTCTCGCTGGACTAGTTGCAGTTTCCGAGCAGTCTTCAAAGGCAACCCCACGTAGAGTGCGTTGCAGTAATCCAACCGGGATGTGACAAGAGCGTGGACCACTGTGGCCAGATCAGACTTCCCACCGTACGGGCGCTGCTGGCGCACAAGCTTTAACTGTGCAAAAGCTCTTCCAGCCACCTCTGAGACCTGGGGTTCCAGGCTCAGCAGTGAGTCCAGGATCACTCCCAAGCTGCAAACCTGCGTCTTCAGGGGGAGTAACCCCATCCAACACAGGTTGTAACCCTATGCCCTGTTCAGCCTTTCAACTGACCAGGAGAACCTCTGTCATGTCTGGATTCAATTCCAATTTGTTAGCCATCCAGTCCGACACAGCGGCCAAGCACTGGTTCTAGGTCTGGACAGCCTCCTTAGTAACGGATGGGAAGGAGTGACAGGGTTGGACATCATCTGCGTATAGATAACACCATACTCCAAAACTCCAGATGATCTCCTCCAGGGGCTTCATGTAGATGTTAAAATAACATCGGGGACAGTACTGAACCCTGAGGGACTCCACAAGACAATGGTTGTGGAGCCGAACAGGTGTCACCCAGTGACACCTTCTGGGATCGACTCTCGAGGAAGGACTGGAGCCACTGCAGAGCAGTACCCCCAAGGCCCATTCCTGTGAGGCATCCCAGAAGGATATCGTGGTCGACGGTATCGAAGGTCGATGAGAGATCTAGCAGAACAAACAGGGACACATTCCCCCTGTCCAGTTCCCGGCGAAGATCATCCACTAAGGCGACCAAGGCTGTCTCGGTACCATGTCCCGGCCTGAAGCCAGACTGTGGCAGATGCAGATAATCCATGTCTACCAAGAATACCTGGAGTTGTGAGGCCACCACACATTCCAGGAATTTGCCCAAAAAGGGGAGATTGGAAACAGGCCGATAGTTGACGAATTGAGTGGGGTCCAGTGATGGTTTTTTCAACAGCGGTTTTATAGCTTGTTTTAAGCTCGCTGGAAATTTTCCTTCCTGTAAGGAGGCATTAACCATCACCTTCACCCACTCTGCCAAACCCCCTCTGGCTTCCTTGATCAGCCAGGATGGACAGGGGTCTAGGATGCATGTGGTGGGTCGCACCTCTCCAAGGATCCTGTCCACATCCTCAAGCTGAACCAATTGAAACGAATCCAACAAAACTGGACAAGCAGATGCTCGCGTCACATCCCCAGAGACCGCCGTTAACATGGCGTCAAAACCTGACCGAATCCGCTCAATTTTATCCACGAAGAATCGAGCAAATGCTTCACAGCGAGCCACCGAGTTGTCTGAGGCCTCGCTTTTTGGCGGATGTAACAGACCCCTGACAACTCGGAAGAGCTCCGCTGGACGATTCTTCGCAGATGCAATATTGGCTGCCAGAAACGTTTTCTGTGCCGCCGCTATTGCCACCTCGTAGGACCTTAAAAAGGTATTCAGAAGTGTTTGAGCTGGATTGGTGGGGTTCCGGCGCCACACGCACTCTAGCCTCCTCTTCTCTCGCTTCATCGCTGCCAGCTCCTTAGTAAACCAAGGGGCTGGTTTAGCTCGGCTGCTCGAGAGGGGGCGTTCCGGAGCGATTGTATCGATGGCCCTGGTGCATCTACCGTATTTCTCCTTCTATCCAATTATTGGTAAAAATCCCAAGTGGCGTTAGTCAACCTTTGTCTCCACATTTCTTTGCTTACATTCTAGTGTCACACCCCCTCCAATTTCTTTCCTTCTCTGCTTCTCTTTCTATTCCCTTCCTTCTTCTCTTTCCTTTCCCTTTTGCTTTCTCTCCTTCCTTCCTTCTT